ATAGCTCCATCTCATATCCTGGTTGTAAAACTTTGAAATAAGTCAGCTCAGCTTTAGTTTTGATTAAAATGACACAATTAGATCCTGTTATTCAATCAGCTAATCACTCACAAAAATGGAACACGTAAATAATACCGTAGGATTGCAAATCTCAGAATGAAGTTTGTACTCCTCGCCTTCTTCCTTGCAACAGTTGTTGCAGAAATTGATTGATGTTGTACCATTTTATATCCACATCAAACTCTTTATTGGGGGGGGGACCCAAACTAACAATCCCAACAATAAGCATTTTCAGTGCTTTTTTTCTAGAAAAATAGGTCTTGGTACTCACTATCAAGTTGCTACAGTAAGTGCCACACGTTTTAACAACTAAAAAAAGAGGTGCTGGTACTGCAAACCCACGAGTACCCCCTGGAAAAAAAGGACTGAGTATTTTTAAGTTCTATGTACCAGGAATTCAGTCATTATCCCTAGACTGCCTAACCAGATAATGTCTGCTTAGGTCCGTTTTTGGATTTACCCATTTACAAGTTCCACTTCTTTGTCATATTACTTGGAAAAAATGTTTTAGACCTCATTTATTCCCTGTTCACACATAGCATTCTAGTCCCATATTGCCGTTCTCCTTACCAGCAGACATATGGATGCAGAATTCAGACGTGGAAGATAATTGAGTCAAGACATACCAGGAGAGTTAGTGTTATGCATTCTGTTTTGCAATGATTTGGAGATGGGAATTATTTTAGAATAATACCATCCTGGAATTTACCTGCCAGCTGGAGACACATTATACACAGCTGACAACGTAACCTGAAGACCTGCTGTGCTATTACTGTGCTTGTATTATAGATACATATTTTGATGCAGATATCACCACATCAGAATGATTTCAAGAGGGTCTCTCATAATGCTAGTGGCAAAGTTGTAGTTACCCTCCCATTCTGAAACTCAACACATTCTACATCTTCCCTGAAAGTAGTGGTTGATGATGTAGTAAAATAACCATTTCTTTCGTCTTGTTCACTGACAAATTGCTGAAGCCATTGGTCCAAGAACCATTTAATATTGTAACTTTTGGTGTCACCTTTTTCATCCTTGGGAATAATTACTTCACATGATCAATGCAACCATCAGCTGCAAAAAAATTTGTAGAATGGGGGAAAGTTCATGAAACTGCTGCAGCTAAAACCCAGGAGCTATCAGTTTACACGTCATATTGTTTATTGTGATTCCTGAGAGTGATTGAAGTAGACCAAGAAACCGAGTTATCCCAAGTTAACAACAGGCAAGAGCAAAATAAGTTCAAAACAATATTTTGAAAGTGTAGGCTGAAAATATATTTATTTTTATCCCACCCTTAAAAGAGCTCAGAGCAATACACTTGCCTCTTCTCCCCCCCCCCCACATGTGGCATCTGTGAGGTAGGTTAGACTGAGAGGCTGACCCAAAGTCATCAAGTGACCTTCATGGCCGAGAGGGAATTTGAACCTAGGTGCCCCCAGTTATATTTGAGCTACATTACCACACCAGCTGTATAAATTACCCATTAAGAATTTTCTCGTATTTGCTGCCATTTCAGGTAACGTCCCTGTACCTCCTTTAAGTGAATAGTTCAGGTGGGGGGGGGGAATGTTGGACCACTGTCCCAGGGATCAGCACATTGGTGTCTAAAGCCTCAGGTATTCCTTGTTATTTATAGGATTTTAAGTAATTAACTCAGGGCCAGGTCTCTTATAGGAAGCTGCCTTATATACCAAGTCACAGACTGTTGACACTGCCTGGCAGCTGCTCTCAAGGGTTTCAGACAGCGCGTTCCCCAACCTTAAACCTGGTGATGCTGAGGATTAAACCTGGGACTTTCTTCATGCAAAACATTTGCTCTACAACTGAGCTTTGGTTCTTCTTTTGGCGCGTGATTGCCTGGAGAAACTGAACTGCGGGAATAACACTTCCTAGGATACCTTTTGTCAAACACTCAGGCCACAAGAAGGGCGGCCGCATCTCTTAACAATCCAGCTAATGCTTGTATTTGTCCGCACAAATGTATACCCAGTAACAACAGGGGCTGCTCACATGGAGGAAGCCCATATTGTCCAGACCAGTCCTTAGAATTCAGATTACATGATCAAATTCATGAAACAGCCTGAACAAAGCCATTGTGCTGAGATTTACAAGCGGGGTGTTCTGTGCTTTTGTTGAAAGAATCATCCTTGTTGCTGCCATTTGCTTGCTGTTTTAGTAAGGCTATTCTGTCCACTGAAAATGTCCATTCCTGTATTACAGAAGAAATGAAGGAAGAGTATGACACCATGGGGCCTGAAGCTGCAATTCAGACCACTGGAAACAACGGAACAGGTAAGGGCAGACCTATACAAATTTCTCTAGTTTCCTATTGCCTTTGATTATTTTCGTTTGTTTTGCAAACTGAAAGAATAAGCCAGCTACACTAGTTCACTAGATGAAAGTTTGAGATATTCCTAATTACATGTACATTTCCCTGATTGTTTCACTTTGATACAAACCATTGATGCAGCCTTGATACCCCTGCAGTTTCTGGGAACATTTCTGCAGAGATCTGTGTGACTAGGATAGTTTCTTTTGTGTTTGATGAAAAGTATATTTTCCTGCCTCCATCTATCCCTCATTTAATGTGACAGCATCCTTGGGAGTTAATAGATTCCAGCACTGTAAAGAGTGGTCTTTTCCCCCCATACAGGTGATTATGCTGGAGTTTAATGTAGCTGGAATTTTCTTGTGACAGGATCTGTACAAATATCTTTATAATCATAATGGGTGCACTTTTTGTATCGATACCAAACCCACATGTTTTATTGGGTGCATACTTCAGACCACTGAAACTTTTTTTTCACTTTCCTTAACTCATTCTTCACTCCTCTTCTCAGAAATCTACCGTGTGTAGATGAAAAGAAAGTAACACTGATACAAAAGATGCGTTGTTTCTAAGCCATCTCTTTAATGCTTTGCTGAAACCTCCAGAATAAAATGGGTTTTTCTCCAATCATGATAGTTCAGTGTGTTCAAGCTGCTTTCCATTTGATTAATGGGACTGGTTTCTTTATAGGTAGCCTACAGTTGTAGGTGGGGATTGCGGGTGGCGCTGTGGGTTAAAGCCTCAGCGCCTAGGACTTGCCGATCGAAAGGTCGGCGGTTCGAATCCCCGCGGCGGGGCGCTCCCGTCGGTTGGTCCCAGCGCCTGCCAACCTAGCAGTTCGAAAGCACCCCCAGGTGCAAGTAGATAAATAGGGACCGCTTACCAGCGGGAAGGTAAATGGCGTTCCGTGTGCTGCGCTGGCTCGCCAGATGCAGCTTGTCACGCTGGCCACGTGACCCGGAAGTGTCTGGGGACAGCGCTGGCTCCCGGCCTCTAGAGTGAGATGAGCGCACAACCCTAGAGTCTGTCAAGACTGGCCCGTACGGGCAGGGGTACCTTTACCTTTACCTTTTTACAGTTGTAGGACTGTCTCAACCATTCCTCCTTGTGAGGGATAACTGTATTTGGCAAAGTTCTGTCCATGGTCCTAGCATTAAGAACCTGATACAGTTCTGAGCTATTAAGATGTCGCAAACATGCCTGGCCAGTGAGGAAAGACAGAGCACCTTAACTTTGTGAAAATGGAAGCAAAGGAACTTTTTCCAGTGAGACAAGACCATTATTCCATATTCTCCTTACTGTAGTTTCCATCCTAAATAAGCTGTTTTCATGTTCCATTATGATATTTGATTCTTAGTGCCCACTAGCAATGCTGTTAAGTAGGGTGGCACCCAAATGCTACAAGGATTTTATTACTCACACATCTCTAATGCTGGTACACACCCACATGTTCTTATTAGACATTGCAACAAACTGACTTGCCTAATTCTTATGGGGGGAAATAATGGAAAAATTCATCCATGTTGGTGTGTGAGTGCATGTGTTTCTATCTTTTGTATATTAGTCTTATATACTGGTGGGTAATCCGTAAAGTAAAATGAGGTCACATTTTCATTAGTTATGTATTACAAAGAGGAACATCAAAACATCTATACCGTACTGAAAAATTATTATTTATTCTTCTCGGGATTTAATGGTGTGTAGCAAGGCCAAGGACAGGTCCAGTTAACACCATGTACTGGCAACAGTATGATCCCACTCCACTCACAAGCTTTTAAAGAGCCTTGTAGATGTCACAAAGCGCCGTAAATTCTCCAACACTGAGCCCCAGAGATTCTTGTCCCGGAGGGCAGCCCCCCAATAGGCAAATTGGTAAGAATCAAATCACTAAAGCTATGGAGGGCAGGCTGTCTGTCTTTCATATACACTACCACAATCTCATATAGCATGATCAACCATTTTCTCCTCCCTACAAACCTCACAACACCCAAAGTCAATCCTCATAGCCCTGCATAAATGTAGAGCTTAATGCCTAGTCAAAATTTGGAACAGTACAACTTGTCTCTGCCACCCTTTCAGTGTCAAAAATTGAAAATCTTCCAATGGTGGACATCTGGAGAATACCTTCCTACCTATAGAATACCTTACAACCTGTAGAACCCACCTGCGACTGTCTTTGCCATTCACCTAACATGGTCCATTTAACTCAACTTCTGAAAAGGACAGTGGCAGCAGAAGATCAGTGTCCCTCTGCCCCTAAACCCCTAAAATATTTTGTTTCTCAGTCATTATTTTTCTTTTTTTTAAAAGCAAAAAACATGTGCTAATGTAGCATTAGTAATATTATATTTTAAAAGGTTTGCATTCAGAAGTAAAGTTGGCTATTTATATTAAGGTTCATGGTAAAGACTTCTTAAGAGTCTCATCTTAAGAGTTTCACACCATGCTTCCAACACTTCCATGTGGTCTCAGCGCCACATTTCAGTGGTTCAGATGCATGGATAATCTCCATGCCAGTACCAGCTGCCATTAGCACCATCCACTGTAAGTGGAAACTGTAATGTTTGAATCCTATCTAACTGCATTCCTAGTAAATTAGGCCACAATGTTTACTGAGACTTTCAGTTTGAGTGGTGGGTACCAATGCACATCCAGCAGAGAGAGCAGATTTCAGTATTTTGTATCTCAGCCTACAGGAAATAAAAAAGATTTCTATCAGATTCCAGTTGTAATTCCGTCTCACCAGGTGTTCCACAAGACTATTAATGCTGGCATTGGTACCAGTAAGAGAGTGGCTTCTGGAGTCTGAGAATCTGTCTACTTAAAAACTAGGCTGATACTACAAGAATATTTCGCATGCAACCACAAAATGGTGGTGATGATTCATAATCAGGGCCAGTTAGACCAAATTCGAGCAATTAATTTTGTGTACTTTCACACAGGTAAAACTGGCACCACTTCAGCCCAGCATGGCTTTGAAACTTTTCATCCTTATAGGTATTTTGAGGAAATGGATGAATGCATTCCCTGTAGATAAACAAAATCTGCTTACCCTTACCCAGTAATAGCCGCAGACAAATACGTTTTGCTGAGACTGCATTTAAAAAAAAAAGGTAGGAAAAGAGTTCTCTGCAAAGAAAAACAGAAGTAAAAGTTGGCAAGTTGAAAGGACGGATCGCTTTGAGACTCTAATCTGCATGTACCAATGAGGACCTACCACTTCCTGCTTAATGAAGGCTGTGGTTTTATTAGCTTTGTTGCCGATTAGGAGCAGCTATCTCCATCTTACAGCAAGAGTTCCCACAAGAAATAACTGGCCTCCTATGCTCTCGAGTGTCTCCTTTAAATATCTCTTTTCCTTAGTGTGGTTTATGCTCATATGATGTTATGCTACCTCAGGCTTTAAGGAGTCCCTGCCCTAGTCCTTAATTAAAACAAGACTTCCTTAGTGAGGTCACTCACTCTACATCTTCCTAAAAAGCTTGACTCACAGATGGGAGTGTGATTTCTGTTTGCAATTTAAATTCACTAGGAATCAGTGTGTGAGGCTATAGGCATAGAAATCATGCAGAGGGCATATAAGGGGAAATTCTCGTGTCCTTTCAAGAGACATTAGTTGTGGGGGGGGGGGTAAGAGCAAGGGATGGTCACAAGAATTTGTGCTAGCTTTGGCTGGTTTTCCAACCACAATGTTTCCTGATGAAGTTAGACCTTGCCACAGTTAATGACGTAGTTACCTCCAGATTAGAGTATAATGTGCTTTGCACGGGGCTGTCCTTGAAAAGTGTCTGGAAACTTCAGCTGGTGCAAAATGCTCATGCGGAATGGAGCAGAGCAGTCAGAACATATTAATGCCTGTTTTGTGTGATACGTACTAATTGCCAGTTTGTTTCTGGGCTTGATTCAAGGTGCCGCTTTTCATCTTCGGCTGGGGAGGGCGGGATATAAATAAAATTTTATTATTATGATTTATTATCTTCAAAGGCCTAAACAGCCCGGGACCTGGGCATCTTCCTTGTCTCATGTTCTGTTCCCCATCGGAAGCCTTGCTCCAGATTCCTAGCCTCCAGGAGCAGGGCCTTTTCTGCACTGGCACTCATTTTGTGGTGTGCCCTTCTGAGATGTGTCTATTTTATGAATTATTTTCCCTTACTGACTTTTTTTCTTGATTTGCCATGTTATCACTATGATAGTTGGTATATGAATTATTCCGTTTTGAGGAGTCACATCCCATAATATATTGCATGATGTTTTAATTTGTAAGCTACTTGAATTTCTTTCCTTTTTTTTAGTGGAAAAAATGTGAGGTATAAAGTTTTAAGTAAAATTCATTTGCAGTCACATTTTGTTTGTTTGTAACGCTGATCAATTATTCTAATGATGGCCAAATTCTTGTCAGTAACATAAGAGAAATTTTGAATTGCCTGATCTGCATTCAGATGGCACTTGATATTTATATTAATCTTTAATACATAATCACACTGTTAACGTTGTTTCAGTTAAGGATCTGTCAGCTCCCCAGCAAATCCCGTTGTTTTAAAGGTTTATAACTTAGACATAAACATTTGCCTTAGCTCCTGAATTCCTTTAATGCACAGGGAAACTGAATAATGCACCTCAGAAATATTTAGCATCAAAGGAGACAATTATAGCCTCCTGTGCAAAACTAGCATTCAAAACTGTTTGTAGGCCTGTTTGAGAAAGCTGACCAACTGTCTGTAGGATCTAGTATATTACTAGGAGCAAAGGAAGAATTAACTTTAGGTAGTGACCATAATGGTATGTTTGAGATAATAGTGACAAAAGCAGCAGCTTTTAATAAGCCTCGTTCCAATTTGTGTTTTAATGCTGTAAAAATTTCTGGAACCGTTATTCTAAACAGTTATGTTCGGCTATAAGCTTGCAATGCTTGAGTAATGTTCCTATGGTCTGAACTGGTTTAAGTAGTTTTACAATATGGCCATTGGCCCAGAGATGGACTTCTGGCAAGAACACCAACCACAATATTTTCCTGTTCAATTTACTGTCTACCGTTTTCAGTCTTCCTGCTATAACTCCCTACTTTCCAGCAGAAACCAATTATAATTTATATGAACATTTTTCCGGATATTTCTTCCATATTGCTGTCAATATTCTACCCAGTAATTCACAACTCACCTCCAATCCAAACTATATATTCATTTTTTTCAATACCACCCCCCCCTATTTAACCAGAATGTTTCTTTCCTTAAGAAAATATGTTTTGAAACATTAGAAGAAGGCATATACTTCAGGAATATATAATGATAGATAGCCAGCACAACAAAAAACGCTATTTGACTTGCCCAGGCACACCCGAGTTTATTTCCATTAAATGTATATCAACACTGAAAAAAGACAGTGTTTGGCAATACAAGAACCTGATATTCACAGATTTCAACATGCTGAATGGTCTTTATCATTCACTCTCTATTCCACAGCCACTCTCAGTGTGACTGATGGCTACCTGAATATGGCTGGGATCCAACTGTTACTTCAGTCACATACCCAGCGAATTAGAGGAGACAGTGGTAGTTGTATAGGCGTTAAAGCACACACAAACAGGCCCAAAGAAAGACAGAAATCCAGCAGATAGAAGAGAGCATGGGAAAAGGCCACAGGAAAGGCATTCTAATGAAAATATAAAAATTGATTTGGTCCTATATTCTGAAGCACATGGCAAAATGGTAGGTGGTTTCTGCAAAATTCAGAGCAAACTTTATCCTCTCTGTAGGCTTCCTACATCTGGCAAACTGGTCACCATCTTGATGGGCAGGGCCAGTTTTGCTTGCATGGAAGTTTGTAGAAAATATGACCGCTACTTCCAGGAAAGTAACAAAAGATTTCAACACACGGTTTCCCTTATGCTTCTCCTGAGAGGCCTGAGCAGAGCTTTAGGCTCCTGTTCTAGGCTGGCTGGACCCCTGGACAGGAATCTTCCTCTTGCATAGACACACTACAGCTAGCTTTGTTTCACAAGCCCCTTTGAACTATTGAAAGCTGTTTTTAAAACTTCTTTCTGCTTCAAAAGTGCATTGACCTGCATTAGGAGAAGCGGCGGCTGTTCCAGGGTCACAGTGGTGCAGTCAGAGCAGGACTTGGGAACAGACATCAAGAATGAGGCAGAACACCGAGTAGAAGCAGGGTTGCATTACCATAAGGGAAGGGTAATCCCATTAAGTCCAAAGTCTAACGTTACCTAACTGTGGCACTGAAACACAAGTCAAAAATGTCCTTGCATGTGCAAAACTAGGTGTGAGAACATTTGGATTCTGGACAACATATGACATAGTTAAGGGGTAAATATCTAAGGATCTGTTTTATGTTTTGTTTTGTTATGTTATGTTTTTAATATAATTCTCTTAAACTCACTTCCAAGGGCATATGGTAGTGACCCAAAGTATGAATAGCATCATAAAAGAACTAAGGTATTTAGGTATTGGAACACAGGTGGTGCTGTGGGGGGGACAGGTGGCGCTGTGGTCTAAAGCACTGAGCCTCTTGGGCTTGCTAATCTGAAGGTCAGCAGTTTGAATCCCCATGACAGGGTGAGCTCCCATTGCTCGGTCCCAGCTCCCGCCAACCTAGCAGTTCAAAAGTATGGCAGTGCAAGTAGATAAATAGATACCAACACTGCGGGAAGGTAAGCGGCATTTCCGTGCACTGCTCTGGTTTCGGTGATCTGTAGCACCAGAAGCGGCTTAGTCATGCTGGCCACATGACCCGGAAAAACTGCCTGCAGACAAACACCGGTTCCTTCGGCCTGTAAAGTGAGGTGAGCACCACAACCCCAGAGTCGTCTGCAACTGGACTTAACTGTCAGGGGTCCTTTACCTTTTTAGGTAGGTAGCTAGCTGGTCAGGGCATGCCACTTCCTAATAATATCTCTGTCCCTCCCACTCCCCCAGTAGTATTCTGAAGTTTGACCTCTAGTTTCATGAGCCATTTCAGAACTTTATAAATATGGGAGCACCTGTTTTCAGGGCTATCACTAAACATCCTTCTTCTGTTGATCCTTGTTTTTGCCTATCTAGTTCATTCATCTTTATCATGACCTATTTCTGAGGAAGAGAGAGAGAGAGAGAGAGAGAGAGAGAGAGAGAGAGAGAGTTAGTTTAACTTGAGCTCAGCAGGTTGTGCATTGAAGAAAGATGTTGCATATTGACAGGAACTGGAACATTTTTATTAACAACATCTATGAGGCTATTGCCAGAATTGCTTCCTTCTGTAAATGATATTAAGGCATCTCCTGGGATTTAGTAGTTTCAAACTATATGTTTTACTGGACCATTTCCCTCCCTTGCAGAATTAGGTATTTCCTTTAGATTTTGTAATAAAATGATTTTTCCATAACCTATTTTTGTACATAAAATACTGTAAGATTTTACTATGAAGCAAACAGAGGTGTGAGTTGATTTTATGCTAGCACCATTGACCACCTATGGCACCATAATGGATTTTCTCCTTTATCTGTTGCCTTGAGGCAAAGATGCTAAATATTTCAGTAACCCTGTGTGTTGGTTTCCTACCACAGTCTAAGTTACAATGATGTAAATCTAGTGCTTCTGTCACTCTATAATTATCAATCCAACCCCATTGATTTTAGGGTAGATACTGCTGATTTATGCTGTTGTAAGAGGGAGCAGAATCAACTTGATCTCTATTTTGGTTGCTTTATGAGAGAAAATATTTTAATCATCTTGGTGCTGAGTTTGTAACCTGACCTACTCAAATAAATGTATCAAAGTCTGAATACGTATGGACAGTAAAAAGTGAGTGTCAGTAAAAGTCTTAAACTGTATGTGTGCTGAAGAGGTACTTTTCAATACATAATTGAAAACACAATTCAAAAGCTGTTTTAGCTATAATTCTGCTCTGAGTTTACATGCTTAAGTCCCTTTGACATTGGTGGTCTTAAACAAACATACTGAGCAATGGATTGAATGTGAGGTCTCCTATACAGTTGGATTAATACTTTTCTACAATATCATAGGCTTTACTGAATTATTCCTGCATCTAATGTTCAGAAAGGAAGGAAGGAAAATGATTAATTTTAGCAAGAGGATGCTTTGTGGTTCAGAGGATTTTCCCCCCATGGACATTGCACAAGCAAAACAACAACAACATATTTTATGTTTTAATGAGAGAGAAAAATGAAAACTTCACTGTTTTTAGGGCCTACCTCACATAATTGTGTTCCAGAACTAAATAGTAATGTTTGTAAAATCATTCCAACATCACATTATTTGAGTAACAATGGTTCCTTTTTGAGGTGGTTGGGGGAGAGGATGTTGCTTCTCCAAGAATGTTATGTATTTCAGAGAAAAGACATTGGGCCAGAATACTGACCAGTTCAGAATTCTAGTTTCCTGATCAGAAAGATGTCCATTAGCCTATATGCGAGCTTGCTTATCATACTCCCCACCCCCTGTTATTCTTATGGTCTTCCTTATCCCAATGCCCAATAACCAGCACTGGGGGAAAAAAATATTTCTGTATCCATGAAATAGTGTCAGACAGTAGTCTCAGAGACCAAAGCACAGAAGGTTTCGCAGATGATCTATAGCAATCGCCTGATATATAATAAGGATTTATAACCTCCAAATCCAAACCATAGGGTTTGAGGAGATCCAAAAGCAGGCTAATTCCTTAGTCCACCTATCATTAAGTTCAGATAACAATATAAGACTGTGGTCTCAGAGTACCAAAGGACAGAGATTAGAATTGCTCCCACCAGTTGCAATTTATTTCAGGAATCGTTTTTGTAAGATATCATTGAATTACACCAGAATTCCAAAATGCACAAAAAGTCTAAAATGTTGCTTTTTCAGATTCTGTGCACAGACAGCATACAATATTGCACCCCTCCCTTTTTTTATGAGGAAAGGAGGAGGGCACATGCATTGGCTTCTGCCATCTTTCATTAATGAATGGTGTCATCAGTGACTTTGCCAAATGTATTCTCTTACAAAATTACCAGCCAGTGATTTTATGCGCAGGAGAAATGAGCTAGGTGGAAGTATGGGTAGCCACAGGATTAGGCTCATAAAGTAAATGTACACCATCTTCAATACCACTGTGTAGACAAACATATAAATCCTCCACAAAACTATTTCTCTCTCCCCCCCCCATCCCTTTTCTATTATAGTTAAGAATGCAAATTGCACGTCGGACTTTGAGGAATATTTTGCTAAGAGGAAAGTGGATGAAGGAGATGGACACTCAGTCAGTATAGCGGAGTACCTACAACGCAGTGATACAGCCATTATTTACCCGGAAGCCCCCGAGGAACTGTCTCGTCTTGGCACTCCAGAGGCCAATGGGCAAGAAGAAAATGGTGAGGATGGAATTCATTTTTAGCCACTCTTCTGACCTCTTGCAGCTGTTGCAATTATAAATGCACTACATGCCTGGGTGTTTACCTTAAAATTGAAGAACAGCTGCAGAAGCATGGAATTTCATGAGCAAAGATGGGACTGTAATTTCAGCATATTGTGATTGCTTTTTCAGTCAGCAAATTGAGACTCTTCTGTAGGTGAAATAAATAGCAGGGACAATTAAGTGTTATGTTTTTAAAGGAGCAGCGTCCTTGCTCTAATTTTAGTTTGGGAATGACTGAATTTTTTTACAGGACAAATTGAGGATTACTAACTGATACTGTTAAGTCCTTAATAAGTAATTGAAAAAGCATCCGTGAAGATGGAACTAGATGGTGTTGTGTTTGGAGACAACAGACTAGTAATTAAGTGCACAGCATCAATAAATCAGAGCAAAAAACAAACAAAAAACCCCCAACATTTTCAGCCCCATCCTCCCCCCCCCCACAAGCTATTGTAGTCTCACAATAAGCCAGATGAAAGTTTGGAATTAATTTTCTTATGATTCATACAAGTTTGCCCTGAGCGTGTAAAAAGTGATTGATGTGGTTTTGCAAGCAAGGTAGATATCACGGATATTCCACTGTAGGCAGATTGCAGTGATTCTTGTCAATCCATCCTGGGCAATAAGCCCATTAACTGCCATTGATTTACTGACCTTTTGGCCTGCTTCTTTCTCTCACGTCTCTTGGGCTACAGACCTGCCACCTGGAACTCCAGATGCTTTTGCCCAACTGCTGACCTGCCCCTACTGTGACCGGGGCTACAAGCGCTTGACATCACTGAAGGAGCACATCAAGTACCGCCATGAGAAGAACGAAGAGAACTTCCCTTGCCCTCTTTGCAACTACACATTCGCTTACCGCACCCAGCTCGAGCGGCATATGGTGACGCACAAGCCAGGGACAGATCAGGTGGGGGGGCTTGTTTTAAGTGATTTCTTTCTATAATAACCCCTTAGAGAAATGATATTGCTTTGATTGGCAATCATTATTAATTTTTCATGGCATTTTGAAGATGCAGATCTTTTAATGGTAATAGCTTTAATTGAGGCCTAAATGATTTTTTGATGGTCTCTTCTAATATGATTTAATAGTCTTATGTTCACGATCGAATGAGTGTGTTAATTTCTAATTTAGAAATTTTATTTGCACTTTAACTTGACTTTAGTTTCATTTTTTTATGTTCCTCAAAATGTGAATGAAATTGTGGCATTTTAATTATACATTATTAAACATCTCAGCAATTTTATCTCCATTTTTCACCTAGTTTTGCACTGCATTTCCCCCCACATAGGATCTCAAAGACATCTCAGGAATCTGCTAGTCTTATTTTCTGTCATTCGTTACTTTTTATGGAGCCCTGTATCTGTTTTTCATGCAGTTCATACGAATAGGTTCATATTTTTTAGTTAATCTTGTTGCGTGTATCTGTGTGCTTTATGGCTGTTCTAATAACATGTGATCACTTTAGGAATACACTATTCCTGAAATCTACACATCCCAGCAGCAAATCTCCTGTAAATCAAAATGATTCCTTGATGCATTAGATTTAATCAAATTGAATGTGTCTTTTGAATTCCTGCTTAAAACTTCTATAATGACGTGTTGCAATTGAAATCCAAATGGCAGATCTTAAACTGCATTCCATCCCATTACTATGAGAATGATACCAATAGTTTTTATTCTAAAGAATGAGAAGTCATACTGATTTAGATTTATCATGACAGGCATTTTTTTCAATAAAAGACGTGCTTAATTAAACAAACATGTATCATGCTCACCTTCTAATCAAGCAGTTTGGTAATTAGTTCACTGTTTCTCACTTGATCTCTGTAATCGATAAAATACAATTCTGACAGGATTTATCATAACATTTCATTTTAAAGAGCAAAGCGAGTTGTTAATCTGTAACTTTCCCCCCTTCCTGACAAAATGGGAGGCAAGAGTGGCTTTTCCTCTCCTTCCCTATTGCTTTTGACTATCAAAACACTACTGGGAGGGGAGGGGGGGCGTGTGGCTGGATATTTATCCAGAATAACTGCCTTAAATTTCACATGCAAGAGTGTGATTGTGCTGGCGCATTACGAATGGTAGCTTTGGTGTTGAAAAGTCCCCTCATTTGCTCATGGCATTTACAATTAGTAAATTAAAATGATTGTATCATATTAACAGTGGCACAACTAAAGTTTATAGTAGTCCTCTGAGGGCTGTGGGGGGAGACAAAGCAGCTGTTGCTGTTTGTTTATGCAACTCAGCAACATATGAGCACTGGTCCCTCAATGGCGCTCCGCGGGCTGGGCTCTGCTTGATCTTTGAAGGTTGCTGCTGTTTGAACAACCCTCCCTGTGTCCCATGTAACACCATCTGTCTCACTAGGAATGTGGGAAGATTCAGCACACCCTAGCAGTTGTCATACCGTTTCTGTGCTGTCTTTTCTGCAATAGGCTTTTGTGTCATTGCTGCTTGGGAGAAAAGGGGGAGTGGGGGGGGAGGGGAGGCTGACCTCCTACCTTGAACATCCAGACTAGATGACTGCAGCTTTTTTTTTCTTCCCCCTTTTTAAAATCAGAATTCAAAGTCACAGCACTTTTCTCACTTGTTCAGAAAGGTCAGCTGTGTTTGATCCTATCTTTATGCTGCTTTTTAACTCGTCCTTTCTGCCAACTTTTCCTTCTTGTTTTTGCCCCTGCTCCTTAGCATTGCTCTGAAGGAGGGGGGGGGGAGAACCAGTTTAATTCTCTGATCAGGATTTTCCCTCCCAGCAGTGACCGCCTCTTGCATTTGATAAAACAAAGCTTGCTTATCATCACAATGCTAAAGGGTTCAGAAGCACTGCAAATATATATTTTTTAAAAAATAAATGCTGCAAGTTGCGAATTGACAATATGATCAGCTAAGAATATTAAAAGCCTCAATTTCTTAAAAAAATTAACAAATCCATTCCTTGCAGCACTGCATGCCTTAATATATTGTGCTGCCGATGAAAGACTTAAGAAATAATTCCAAAGCAAATGCTCGAAGTGAATTCAGATTTCCTTCAAGTTTACTGCCAACATTTTGATTTTTATGGCAGCACTGATGAGGCAAATAAATGTGCATGCAGATCTTTTAGGCTGACAGATAAATACAAAACTGCTTTAATTAATTTTTTTCTTAAAAGGAAACCTCTCTCTCTCTCTCTCTCTCTTTCTCTCTCTCTCTCCACACACATGTGCGCACACGCACACACATAGATATACACACATATAGATATTGATATATTTGTATATAAAATTCATGCTGGTAATACACACACAGAGAGAGAGACAAATTCATACCTCTACATATAAAGATATCTATTTGCATAAAATTCATGCTGGTGTCTTTACTCTCCCAGCACCAAATGCTGACCCAAGGAGCAGGCAATCGTAAGTTCAAGTGCACAGAGTGTGGCAAGGCCTTCAAATACAAGCACCATCTGAAGGAACACCTGCGAATCCACAGTGGTGAGTAGCTGAGGTGCCAGGGTTCTCATTTGCATTTTGTTTAATTAGCCGAGTTTTGGGGTGTGTTTTTTTTTAAAAAAGCTTAGTATCTTCACCGTTTTGTTTAGAGCCGCCAAGATACTTTGTAAATGATTTCTGACTCATCCTCATTTTTCATGCTATTCAGAAACAGATAAGAAACCAGCACCACAAGTTTCCATAGAAGATTTTCCAAATAGCAGAATGTATTGCCTGATTAATTAATTAAGTTCTAAATTGCTTTCCTGGAGCTATTTCTACTCAGAGGAATTCTAGGAATTCCTAGCCATTTGGCTCTTAAGTTTTCTTATTTGTGATACACTTGCCCAAAAAAACAAAAGCAAGGAACCTTAAACATGAACAAGACCAACACCCACAATCCAGCAGCAATAAACAAATTAAGCTTGCTTACTTGGAATGGCTGTCTCATTCATATTATTTTATCACACTTGCATCTCATCCTTCCTCCAAGGAGTTCACAGCAACTGTTTAGCCCATGGGCAGGCAAACTAAGGCCCTGGGGCCGGATCTGGCCCAATCGCCTTCTAAATCTGGCCCATGGACGGTCTGGGAATTGTGTGTTTTTACATGAGTAGAATGTGTCCTTTAAAATGCATCTCTGGGTTATTTGTGGGGCATAGGAATTCATTCATTTTTACCCCAAAATGTAGTCTGGCCCCCTACAAGGTCTGAGGGACAGTGGAACGGCCCTCTGCTGAAAAAGTTTGCTGACATCTGGTTTAGCCTCCCAAGCACCCTGCATGATAAGTTGAGCTGAGAGATAGTGACATGGCATCACACTTGGTGAGCTTCATAGCTTCTTCATACACTGTACTTTTAAGTACCTGTAAAACATTCGGCAAAATCCAGTGTCAGGTGAGCAGAATTAAGTTTGTTCAACAAGACTTCCTCTTCCTCTAACTCCCCGCCTCCCCAGTTGTGTGAGTGGACATCTATACCATCACAGCTGGATGTCACAACAAGCAACAAAAGATTCAGGTATCTTTGCCAGAGATCTCAGATTGGCCACAGCTTCCCAATAAAGATGCACTTAATAGCCAACATGAGATTGTTGCCACATAATGTGTGAAGTGGCCTGTCTGACCTCGAAGTTGTGTTGTCCACATCCAATCTGAACACACAAGCCACTTTATATATCCATTTACAATATTTATACCCTGCCCTTCTGGCCTGCATCGGCTATCACATCAATTAAAAATATAATTTTGTGTTCCTAATTCAATCCCCTTCGTTGAAATAAATAGCCTCTGCTGAGTGCATTAAGTCATTCAGTTACACATGACAGCGAGAAAATAGGGCAACACTTTGCCTTATATTTGGAACCTGTCAATATTTGAATAATAATATTTAGAGTTCTCCTCCAACTAAAAGTCTTCACCCTTTGATGCAGACATTGTGAGTAAAGCTGTTAATGCTGGTCAAGTATTCAAAGACTTTGATTTATTCAAATAAATTCGAAGGCAAATCAGAAACAAAGACAAATATACCGAAGACTAAAAAAGTATTTTAAAGCTAAAAAATAGTCTGAATAAGTTTCTGTAATTATACACTCTTCATAAGTTTTTTTAAAAAGTATATTCTGCTTATATATAATAATTCTAATGTTTAAGCTATCTAATCTGCAGGCATGTAAAATCTCGCAGTGAACTTTGTTTTTTGTTTAGTAGATCAGCATTTGCAAACCTTGGGTACAATCTCAAAGTTAAGCACTTCTAAACTCCATTGATTTGAGCTGAAGGGATTTAAGCTTATGTTTAATGCTCCAACTGAAGTTTAATATGTTTAATGCTCAACTCAGCTGTAATAGCAAACCACAGTTTCCCACTATAATAACTAGCTGCGGTGAACTTTGGGCTTATGTACATCACCTCTTCTCTCCTCCTCTTTCACATTCACCCACTAAATCTGTTCTGTGAGTTCCCCCAGCCCCCCTGGAGCAAATTTGAGGGTGGCAGGGGGCAGATGTGGAAGAACGAGAGGGGGATGCCTTGTTCCATTTGAGAAGTTAATTAACTTAATACAAGCCCAGGAATTGGGGGGTAGATTCAAGCATGGGACAGAGAGTGGGAAAACTGCCTTTATATTTTGTGTAGCCAATCCAGATTATGACTCAAGGGTTATCCATCACAGGAGAGGGGAGAGTTCACATCCTTCAAAGACTAGTGGCTACTGAACTCAAGTAGACTCATTCCAAAGTAGCAAGAAACGGCGAAGAGACAGCAATGGGTTCGCACACTCCCTCCTCCTAACCTTCATTTTTGATTTTTTCCCCATTCCCTGGTTCAATTGTAAACAATATTTTGTCATGTCACCTGAATGGGGAAAGCTCGCCAAACCTAAATCAGAAACTCAGTTCAAACCATGGTTTTCCATTCTGCTTTGGAGGCAAAGTATGGTTTGCACAAACCATAACTTGCCTGATTTGGACAATCATGGCTAACTGTGCTATGGACAGAGGGAGGGAAACAGAGCCTTAACAGGAGTCAAGAGAGCAGAAGCAGGGGGAATGGGAGCACATGAGCCCAAAATTCATTCACAGATGCCAAAACCTTAGTTAAAATTATCTGCCCCCGCCTTAGGGTAAAACCTAAAAATATATGTACACAGATTCAGAAAGTGGTTGAAGCACTGCTTTAGGCTGAAATGAGAGTAGAGGAGGAATAAAAAACATAAAAACAGCCCTGCTGGATCAGACCAATTGCCCACCTAGTCCAGGATCCTGTTCTCACAGTGACCAACCAGATACCTATGGGGAGCCTGAAGCAAGACCGGTGTGCTTCAATGCCCTTTCCAGAAATACATGTCTCCTGTTCTCTGGCCATTATCCACGTAGATCCTCTAGAACTAAACCATTAAAAGCTAATAAGCAAGTATGAGTGAACTTCCATAATTTATTCTAAAACTTAATTTTTTAAAAAAAGTTCTGATGAAAATTCACCACCATTTTAGTGTGAATTTCTCTCAGTGTACACATTTTTTACAGTAATTCCCCCATAAACAATGTATTTGTTATTTCCACCAATATATGTATTTTTACGCACACTTTCCATATGCATTTTTGTACACATTGCTTTGCTAGAGAACTGCATTGCAAAATTTGGAGAAGTGCAAATTTTAATGAGTCGCTGTGTTTCTGTTCAACATATTGTTTTGGATAGTGTATATCTCCATTAAATTTGCATTCAAATGTGAACTGGGTCATATTTGTCCCCCATTTACTATGCCAACCGATTCACACAAAATTATGCTACTGTTGTAACTGCATGTTGCCTGGGTCCTTATTAAAAGCCGTGGCAAAATCCTTCTGCTATCTGAATTTAGATATTGCAAACCCTGTGCATTACATGTAAGTTTTCAGCTGTATTCCTTTACATAGTACAGTGCAGTACACTCCCTGTTTCCCTTGTAAATACATCTATAGCTTTCAACAAAATGTGAGCCATCAGTAAAAGCTAGGGAGCATCACAGAATGAGAAGGAATCTTGCATGCAGCTAATTGTAGATTGTCTAGTTTGAATTGTTTCCAGTCACAAAAGCCTAAACATAACTTGGAAGGAAGGAGAAAAATGCAGCAAAGTGAAAGGAGTGAAATGTGCAGACACAGTAAATGGTCTAAAGAACTGGTCTATTTGTGAGTTATTAAAAATTAATTTTTTAAAAATTAATTGCAGGTGAAAAGCCCTATGAGTGTCCAAACTGCAAGAAGCGTTTCTCCCATTCTGGCTCGTATAGTTCACACATCAGCAGCAAGAAATGCATTGGCTTAATCTCTGTAAATGGTCGGATGAGAAACAATATCAAGACGGGTTCTTCTCCTAATTCTGTATCTTCTTCACCTACTAATTCAGCCATTACACAACTGAGAAACAAGCTGGAGAATGGAAAACCACCTAGTATGTCTGAGCAATCAGGCTTACTGAAAATCAAAACGGAACCACTAGATTTCAATGAATATAAAGTTCTGATGGCAACCCATGGGTTCACTGGTGCTAATCCTTTCATGAATGGCAGGCTTGGTGCAACCAGCCCAATAGGAGTTCATACTTCCACGCAAAGTCCAATGCAGCACTTAGGGGTAGGGCTGGATGCATCTTTACTTGGATTCCCAGCAATAGGCAGCAATTTAAGTGAGGTGCAGAAAGTCCTTCAGATTGTGGACAACACTGTTTCCAGGCAGAAAATGGACTGCAGCGCTGAAGAAATCTCCAAGCTGAAAGGTTACCACATGAAGGACCCATGTTCTCAACCTGAGGAACAAGGCGTTACTTCTCCTGGTATTCCACCTGTGGGTCTTCCAGTAGTCAGTCATAATGGTGCCACTAAAAGTATTATTGACTACACATTAGAAAAGGTCAATGAAGCCAAAGCTTGTCTCCAGAGTTTAACTACAGACTCGAGGAGGCAGCTCAATAACATTAAGAAAGAAAAGCTACGCACCCTAATAGATCTGGTAACTGAAGACAAAATGATAGACAACCATAATATACCTACTCCATTTTCATGCCAGTTCTGTAAAGAAAGCTTTCCTGGTCCCATTCCCCTTCATCAGCATGAACGTTACCTGTGTAAGATGAACGAAGAAATCAAGGCAGTCCTCCAACCTCATGAAAACATGGCTCCTAGCAAACCAGGAGTGTTTGTCGATAAGCAAGCTCTCCTCCTGTCATCAGTACTTTCTGAGAAAGGAATGACTAGCCCCATCAATCCATACAAGGACCATATGTCTGTACTTAAAGCATATTTTGCTATGAATATGGAACCCACCTCTGATGAACTACTGAAAATTTCCATTGCCGTTGGCCTTCCTCAGGAATTTGTGAAGGAATGGTTCGAACAAAGAAAAGTCTACCAGTACTCAACTTCCAGGTCACCATCGCTGGAAAGGAACAGTGCCAAGGTGGTGCTGGCTGCCACCAACAACACTCCCACTAAAGACTCTTTGTCAGCCAGATCCCCTATAAAGCCTGTGGACTCTATAACATCACCGTCTATAGCTGAACTTCATAATAGCGTTACTAACTGTGATACCCCTCTCAGGCTAACGAAACCTACTCACTTTACCAATATTAAACCAGTTGATAAATTGGACCACTCCAGGAGCAATACTCCTTCTCCATTAAATCTTTCTTCTACATCTTCTAAAAACTCCCATAGTAGTTCTTACACTCCAAACAGTTTCTCCTCTGAGGAGCTTCAGGCTGAGCCTTTGGACTTGTCATTACCAAAACAAATGAAGGAACCCAAAAGTATTATAGCCACAAAGAACAAAACAAAATCCAATAGTGTAAACGTAGACCACAACAGTGTTTCTTCGTCATCTGAAACCTCAGATGAGCCCCTGAACTTGACTTTTATCAAGAAAGAATTTTCTAATTCAAATAGTTTGGATAAAAGCACTAATCCATTATTTGGTATGAGCCCTTTTAGTGCCAAACCTTTGTACACCACACTTCCGCCACAGAGCGCATTTCCCCCAGCCACTTTTATGCCACCAGTTCAGACCAGTATTCCTGGGCTACGACCATACCCAGGAATAGATCAAATGAGCTTCCTACCACATATGGCCTATACTTATCCAACTGGAGCAGCTACGTTTGCTGACATGCAGCAAAGGCGAAAGTACCAGCGGAAGCAAGGTTTTCAGGTAAATATCTTGCTTATTTCAGAAGGTTACAGTTGTATACATCATTCCCATGTACCGTTTCATGACGTAAAACACCCTAAGGGTAAATCAACTCAAACATTCCATTTTAAAAGGAGACGTGAGGAAATGAAACTATGTAAACATGGCCAAGGTGGACAAACTTGGAATGTTCAACTGCAGTTGAACATTTCCTGCCCATTACCGTTACATTACCTGCCCATAAGAATATAAAATGAGTTTCAAGGGGTCAGCATCATCCATTCACCTCTAAGCGAATACGATCAGCTACAGTCCCCATGCAAGGGGGAAATGCTTCTGCTTTAGCCTGAGAAAGGTTAAGAGTAGTACTCTTAAAGAAAAGGCTGTTGATACAATTCATATTCATGACCATTCTAGCATAAGTACCGATGAGATACATGAAGCGCTGGGAGAGTCCCCCAGCCTGTGGCTTCTTTGGCACTGGCACACTGTGGTTTAGGTAGTTTCCTTGCCAATGTAACCCTAAGAGATTCTCAGAAATCACATGGAAATGATAATGCAGCCATAAGCTGTTTATAATATGTTCCAACTAATCTTACAAAGCTATAAAAAGGATTATGAAGATCCCCAAGCCAGACTTGTTTTCATCTCACCTGTTCCATTTTCCTCACCGATCCATTCTCCACCCCATCCCTTGGACTATTGTTGAGAAGACTCTAAAAATATAGTGTCTGTTGGTTTTTATCTTCATCAAATGTTCTCTCAGTCCACTTTTGGGCTGATGTGGACCTATGAAGCTGCCTTATACTTAGTCAAACCATCGGCCCACCGAGCCCATTAAGGTTTACTCTAAATGTTGGTGGCTTTCCAGGGTTTTAGGCAGAGGTTTTACCCATCATCTGCTACCAGATCCTTATTTTAAAAAACTGGAGTTGCCGGGGATTGAACTTGGAAGCTTTTGCATTAAAGGCATGTGCTTTGAGCTATGGCCCAATGTAGGTGAGTTCAAACTTTTAGGAACTCTCCCAACTGCAAGAAAAAAATAAAAAAATAAAAATTGACATCTGTCCACTTAAATATAGCAAAGGATTTTATCCACAGGAAACATGTGTAGTGTGTAGGAATTGTGTATATATAATACATCTACAGTTTGTCAGACAGCGATTAACTGATTATAGTTGATTTTTTAAAACATCTGTGGACATTCCCATATGACCTATTAGGTTCCATTAGTAATTTTACCAACTAGTAAATGTTTTATATTTTCAAATGTGAAAATCAGGTATGGTTTAATGTTACAGGCAGTAATCCCTCTCTGCACAATAGGAGCATAAATAGCACGGTACCTCCATAACAGCTGTTCCACTATTCCAATTTACAGTACATCTGCCCTCTTTGTAAACGTATTTAAGCCTATTTAATCTTCTCTAATATTAATTAGTAAAAACCTAGTCTAAGAAACTGAACTGTCTGATAGCAAATGGAAATGTACGTTATCATGCAAGTTTGCACTCTCTTTGGATCAAGACAAAATAAATATCAAGAAATTTAATAATTTACTGATCCACATTCATTACTGCTTAATGCTGAAGGCTGTTTTAACATAGATACAGCATTGATAAAAAGTGTTATTAATATTCCCTATTTCAAATTACAAAATTAAATATAAAAATATAGCTCAAGGCCTTTAGAGGGGAGACATACATTTCAGTGGATTGCATAATAATATTTTGTGCCTAAATATAAACTTCATTTTGAAGCCTTTCTAACACTTATAGTCTGGTATCTTGAAAGAAAAGCTCTGTCATTGTTGCTTGTACCTAGTGGTTTGTGACTGTGTGTGTGTTATTTTTGGGTTTTGTTTTTGTTTTACAACCTATTATTATGAACACAATGCACTTTGGAATTTTAAGCATACTGACCAAGAAGTAAGTCCTATTGAACTCAGCAAGGCTTATTTCCAATAAAACATGCACAGAAGTGCACTGCAAGCTACAAATTCTGCAAAGACTACAACCCTAAAAACTACCATAAGCTTGCTTTCTTTTCCTTGAGCAGTAGACACACATACTAGTTTCATATTGCTCTTGTTCCCAAGTGGCTTATGGTGTGAAGGGCTATTGGAGGAGGGAGCCTGTTCGAGAAATACAAGTTTCAACCCTACAGAGTATGTGGAGCTATTTGTTAATAAGTTCTCTATACAGGATTTTACACAAAGATAAAGCTGTGTTTGCACATTTATTTTAGGTTTGCGACACACTATGACATTCTGTAACTTCCAGTTACTTTGCAGAATTATCCTAAAAGTTGAATAGATGTTAGAGCAGCTTCAGATACTGCTGTTTTAACCTCGAAATGCTTATACGTCAAAGTACTTAACCTCAGAATATTTATAAAGCAAAAGTTGCTTGCTATCTTGTCACCGAAGCCTTCCTTTCAAATTCTGTGTACAACCTTGTCCATGTTGTTAGCCAGATTCCACATGATAAGCTGTAGGCCAGAGTGCACACATCCATAGCATGTTTTTTGTTTATTAAATGATATGCCCTACATTTTAGAGCAGCTATGGATATGGGGACGATAGGAAATACAAGTGCTGTTTTCTTGCATCTCTGTATCATTCAAAACAGAATGTCCATATCCTCCACTCTCATTGTCCTCAGAAAACATGAATCCTTGAATTTGCTTGTGTATCTCTGAGAAGTGAAGGTGAGGGAATTATGAAACGGAAGAATGCGGCACTCGCACTTCCTGTGCCCCTTACAGTTATGTCCAAGAGTGCTTATGTGGTGCGATCTTGTGCATGCCTGCTGAGGAATTAAGTCCCATTGAGTTCAATGAGACTTACTCCCAGGTAAGTATGTATAGGATTGCAGCCTTAATTTTGGGGTGATGGGTTCGGTCATGCAGGACAACTATGACCTCCTGGAACTGAAAGCTGGCACAAATTTGGATATGACTTGAACAAATTAAGTAATGTGAGCAGGAGTTCCATCAAAACACACTGGCATCTGTGGTCCTGTGGAAAGTGGTTACATCATATTCTGATCACACCAGTGCTTTCCACAGGGATGAAATCACAAAGAACTATGTGGAGCTGACTCTGGTTGTTGTCATGTTCCCTGACTTGGTAATGGTATAAGTGGCCATTTGGCCATCTGTTCTCTTCCATTGCATAGATATAGCATTTCATAACAGCATTTCAGGAGCAGCCATCAGTACTATGCACTATTAGTTCATACCCTCCCTCAGCATAGGGAGAGACTGAGCACATGATAGCCTGTAAAAGGGTTCAGATTGCTTATGCAGTCACAATTTTGCCAGCTTCTGCCTTTTCTGTTATGCTTTGGGTGCCCATGCCAATTGAGACTGAAACTATATTTTTAGTGATACAGGGCAGCAGGTACAAATGCATCTGCCACAATGAAGACACCATGTCTCCTTGTAATGATTATTTATCCCCATGTTGTGACATCACCATGTTACGCACTTCCCCAAGCCCATCAGCCAGGGATGTGCAGAGACAGCAGAAAACAAACAACATTAAGACACCACAGATGTTATAGGAGATATTGAGAGAATATGTTTTTGTGGCAGCCCCGTGTCATCAGATGATTTTTCAGACTCCACGTGGCATCCTAAACATACTCTGTTGGGTGCCAGCTCTGGACATATGTGTTTTGCACTACTCACGTAAGACTTAATGGGATAAAAAGTTGAGTGTGAGCCAATGAGGTTGCTTATTGTAACTCAGGGTGCTTACCTGGTTACGGATGAAACTAAATATAGTAACTAACATACTATAGGAACGCAGGATATTGTATAACATCACAGAACAAGGGAAGGAAACATGTTTTACATAAACCATTTGGTTGCATCACAGGGAGAATTGCTTGATGGAACTCCGGATTACATGTCAGGTCTTGATGACATGACAGACTCCGACTCCTGCCTGTCCCGAAAGAAGATCAAGAAGACAGAAAGTGGCATGTACGCATGTGACTTATGTGACAAGACATTCCAGAAAAGCAGTTCCCTTCTGCGACACAAATATGAGCACACAGGTACGAATGGCTATGGCGTGTAGCGACAAGCTTTCTTGCATGTGGTACTTTTCATAATATTTAATGAGTACACTTGTGCAACATAAGATGCAACATATGCTTAAGGCATTCAACAAGGAAGAAATTGTGTGCTTTGTTTGGTTCAGTATGACTCCCCCCCCCCACTTCTTCACATATTAAATTTGTACTCTTTTGTTTGTACAATTCCTTTCATCCCTGACCACTGGTCCTGCTAGCAAAGGTTGATGGGAGTTGTAGTCCAAAAACAGCTGGAGACCAAGTTTGGGAAACCCCGTGTTAGACAGTCTGCCCATAAACATCTATGTAAGTGGGTGGGGGACTAACAATAGCTAAATCTCTTGCACCTGTGATTAAACACCTATATTGCTATTTAAAGGCCTGATCAAAATACATTAAAGCTTACCTTTTGGGCTGCCTCTCTAAATATGTATATATGAGAATTAATAGACATGAAAGTGCTAGTCCAGTTGAACCAAGAGTGAACCTGAGTTTGTACAGTATGTACGGTATATACCGTACATACTGATGATCTGTACAGTGAAGTGGAGCATCATCACACAATTTTTGGTCTGGAAATGCCTGAAGCTTATCTACACCTTCCTTGCACGCTTAACAAGTTATCCTTTTATCAGTCAGATGATAGTGTACTGTAAGAGAGGTAGCTTATCTCCTACAGTTCTTCTTCAGGTCTGTTCTTCATAGTATGGCTGCAATTAAGGTAAAAGGTAAAGGGATCCCTGACCATTAGGTCCAGTCTCGCTTTATTGGCCGCACAGCTTCCGGGTCATGTGGCCTGCATGACTAAGCCGCTTCTGGCGAACCAGAGCAGCGCACGGAAACACTGTTTACCTTCCCACCAGAGTGGTACCTATTTATCTACTTGCACTTTGACCCTGAAACTGCCTTAACAGAGTAGTTGCTGCACAAAGCCAGTTTCAAATGGCATTCTTGTGATGGCTATATTGCGAGAAGCAGACCTTAAAATCTGCATTTAGTTTAGAGTGCTCTTCACATTGTAAAAAGTGATGAGGGCATTATTAACCTCTTAGAATAAAAGGTTATCTGCCTTCAAAATTGTGCCCAGGTGGTGGGGTCTTCCAAAGGGCCCACAGGGCATTCACATCTTGCAACAAACACTGGAGCGAGGCTTAGGCTCGATCCTCTTCTTTGAAAGCTACACTCCTTAAAGAGCCATCACTCTGGTGTGCAGGTGGGCATCTTTTTGCCTTCTGGCCTCTCTCCTGGACTTGCCAGTCCTTGCCTTGGACTGGCAAGTTAGATCGAAAGGCACTCACTTACTGAGCTGAAGGGAAGAACCCCTGAAAATCAAAGCTCCGACTCTGCAGAGTCTGATGAGGTGGGAACCGGTCCAGGGGACTTCTGCCTCTAAGCAGAAAGACAAGAATTTAAGGGCCCTGTGTTTTTTTATATAAAAGAAGAAGAAACAATTCAGTGAGTCCCATCTTACCTTATAGAGTACAAAAATTAAAAGCAATTTATATTAGACATGGAGAATTATCCAGAGATTAGTAGTTTAGGCTAAAAAAGTACCTGAAAAGGACTGAAACTTGAATCTCCTTTTAGGAAAATCACATCTAGTCAAGCTCTAGCTCATTTTCTATATACGGTAATTTAACACAAATACTGTTGCCTTCCCTTTTTAAGTATTTGTTGTCTTCTCTTCCAGTACACATGTCTAGCTCACACACACACATGTGCATGAACCCAAACAGTAAGATGGTTCCTAACAATAGTCCATCTCTTAATTGTTTTCCTAGTCTTGGATCTGTGACAAGGATAGTGGGAATGGGAATCATTCACCTCTATTTAATAAGCAGACTAAATGGTAAATTTCAATAGATCTTCTTTTATGCCTTCCAGCATGCTCTTTGCTTTTTATGCATTTATAAATCACATTCATTACAAAATCTGGGAAATTTGCTTTCACGTCAAATTGATAAACAAAGTTTAAGTGTGTGTGTGTGTGTGTGTGTGTGTGTGTGTGTGTGTAAATTTCTCAAATCCTTTAAAAACTCTTCCCCTAACAGTCCTTCACTTTGTAATAGTGAATACACTCCAGAATACAGGGCAGCCTGCTTCATGAGTGGCAGGTGCTTCTGGTCTTTCCTGCATCACTTACCCAATGGATTAAATCCTCCATCCCTAATTGCCATGCACACTTTTACCAACAGAGGCAAGTGTGTATGACAAAGGGCTGATTAGCAGTCAGTCACCAAACAGGACAGAATCATGAAAAGGGCATATAATTTGTCACAGCCTGGTCACCTGTGTTTTGAACTGACAATGTCCTAACACTTGGGGTGTGGTGTGGGGAATGAGGCAAAGGGTGGCTCTACCCTTGTATTTTGTTTCTTTGTTTGTTTATATGTAATAACAACACTGAGACCCCCGGGTATTAGGGCATATAAATTCAATAAATAATAATAAAATTGTCTGCCAACATGGAAAGCATGTATGAGGGACATGCACGGTAACACTAGTTAACTGATGGAGAATAATCGTTGCCACATAAATTGTGGAGTTGGCCTAACTGTACCCGTGATTTATTGTATCTTTCAATATTGCCTAGTTCAAAATCCTAACTAAGCCTAAACAAGAATAATGAAGAAAGATCCAAAACATCTTGTATCAAAACAACGCTGTTTACTCCCGTTTGATTGCTGTGTCTTTTAAAAGGCACAAAATCTTTCACTTGAGTCTTTTGAAACTGAGGAATAAAAGGTCTTCCACAACATTAGTACTCTTTCCTTGCCTCTTTAAGCCAAATCCTATGCAGAAAATAAAAAGGAAGTTAAAATACTCATGGGAATAGGGGTACGGGGAAATAAAGTGGCATTTTGGACCACCAGCTTGTTTGGTTCATTGGTGTGCGTATTCCTTACGTTGCATTACTCAGATGCCATTGTTTGGTTGGTTGAAGAGGGGGGAAAGCTTTGCAGGCTTTACATCCCTGCACCTTTCCTCTCCTGAATGATTTTATTGCAGCCATCTGCAAATATTATGGTTTGCTACACTACTACCGTAAACCTCTTATGTTAGAGCTGGCCTTCTCATATACTGGGATCTGGACATATGGTTGAATCCCGTAAAGTCGGTGGTCCATAAGCTCCACAGTCATAGGCTGACAATTGAAAGGCTGGAAATTTGACAAGCCAGGCACCTTGATTTGCAAAAAAAGCAGATAATATGCTTTGATTTTAAACAAGCAAGGAAGACTTTATGTGAAATGCTGTAATACTCCTTTCCTCCTGACCATTTTATATCTCTGTGAGATTCTGCCTCAAGTTTTAGCACAAATAAAAGTGTTTGAAGAGAAGAATCGCTCCCACAATAGAACTGCCTAGTCCTGGAGTTAAGAGATTTGGATTTAAGTTTCCTTCATCTCTGACACATGTTTGTTTTGTGAACTTCAGCAAAAGCAGTCTTCATATAGCAGGAAACATCAGGATATAGTTTTATCCTAACTTTAGTCAGAGTAGTAAAAGGTCATTTAATCAGATTACGAATGCAATCCTATGCATGTCTACTCAGTTCAGCTGAATTAAATGGGACCTACCCTTAGGCAAGTGTTTATAGTATTGTGACCTTAATCTAATTTGGTGGAACAGCAGCACAGTAGTGGTAAGTTAAGGGGGAACACTTGCAAACTAACACAAGCCTGCCCTTCTTATTCCACTACCTGTCTTGCATATTTACGCAGCTAAAGTTTACTTCAAGAAAATGTAAAGGCCATTTGCCTTTTTCTTTTCCTTCTTTTCCTTCTTCTTCTTTGGCCTCTTTTGTAAATGTTAAGTGAATTGCAAATTAAACTGATAAAGTTATGGAAAAAGCCAGAGCGATGGAATGGCTGTCTCGTCTATTAATATATATGAGAAATTTCACTCTGTGTTCGGGGCAAGACTCTCTGAACTGCAATTAACCTTTGCTTTCAGTGACTGAATCATTATCCCTTCCTCATCTTTTTGGGGACAGTTAGTGCTTATCCTGTCTTTCTAGAGTAGCACAAATAATGGGCATAGATTTATAAGCCAAAGTGTTGATCTGTCTGAAGATGCAGTCCACACTTTTCTTCTTCTTTGTAGGTCAGCTGTTCTGGAATGGTCTGATGCTGTCGCCTTATAACCAGTTATATCATATACAGCTTTCACACAATGCAGTGAAGCTAATACTTATGCAGTGGCCCAGTTGACTAGCTCATGCCATACACTTCTATTTACCTGTGCTCTTCATATTCCCCTGTGATTTTAAAGTGATTTACCTCTCCTTGGTACCTGACTACACTGAGGTCTCAAGCCCCCTTTTTTGGCACAAGTTTTGTGACTTGAATTACACTACTTTAGAAAAGTGAAGCCATGTTGCTGCTGCTGCTGTTCTTGTCATTCTTAAAAGGAGTTTGGAATGCACATGTTAGATATACTATAACAGAAAATCTAAGCCCTGTGTACTGTATCCAACCATCTGAGATGCTTCCTGCAAAAAAGCCCATTCTGTCATAGTCTTATGCCAGTAGTATCAGTAGTATGTGGCCAAATGAGCTAGGAAAAATTATTGAAAGGCCAGCAGCATTTCAAAGTCCTTATGCTACCTGTTGGATGACCACCACTGGGGAAAACGAAGCAGAAGTTAGGTTTGGTAGTTAATTCTGATTTGTGTCAGGGCAAGAGATTTCAATTCTCGAAGAGTCCCGTTTGATAAGGGCCATTGGTAGTGACCAGGAGACTGCTTAAATCTCCTACAGCCTATCACTGAATAGTAACCCTTAGAGGCCAAACAGAAGTGCTTAGATGTAAAACACTGTCTTTCAAATAATTATTTGAAAGTTACTAGACTAAAATATTTTTTATTAACTCTGCTACCCAGATTAGTAACACGTTGGATGCCAGCAACCTAAAATTGGAAATTTAAGCAACCAGCAGCTTACAATGACTCCTTGTTTGATCTCCTGAATTGATTCCTTG